TTTCGTAGATTTAGGATTCACGTGATTAAACAAAAATGACGCAGTATTTTATCTTACAGAATAATGTCGATTCTACATCTTAGTGACAATAAGATTTTTTCATCAAATATACTTATTATAAAAATTTTGAAAGTTTAGGAAAGCATTTGTAGTTGTGGCACTTGAAAAAGAACTGATCGTAGATTAAGTGACTCAAAAATAAACCAAATGAGTTAAGAGATTAAATTAATGATCAAGATACAGTTTTGTTACAACTATTTAATGTTTTTATATGAACATATATATATTATCATAACTAACCATATCATATCAGAACAACTCCTTGATTGTCTCTCATTATTAGTATTATTTAATCATAACCAAATTAAATAAAGTGACCATTTTTATTGATTATAGGTTGATCATTCTGTCATAAATTTCTAATCATAATATGTAGTAATCTAATCCATTTTTAAAGTCGGAAGTTGATTCAAATATGTTAGACTTTTTTTCAAGTAGACATTATATATAATCTTATCTTAAAGATACTATTTTTCAAAAGAAGTAACCCATAGTTTTTGACAACAATAAAAATAATAACAAAATTAGTTAAGGAAAAAAAACAAGTGAAGAACACTTACAATACAACATTAACAATTTCCTTTTACTCATTCTATCACGCCTACAAACATACAAAATTTTGGAATGAAACATACTTGTTGCATAATACCAGTCATAATATATTATCCAAGGGAATTTCGGACTATTTTAGAAACGTTTAAAATGTTTTATAAATTGATTAGTAAGATTTACTTTGATCATTATCAGTTCAGTTTAATGGCTTACTAAGGAGTAGATAAAGCAAAACGAGGAGAAAAGAAATATGAAAGCCGACTGGTGGATATGCATCTATATAGGAATTCCGAAGAAAAATTTCTAGTTGGTATCAATTCTCACGTTTCTTAGTTTACTTGTTATAAATAGCATCGTTTAAAATATACAGAAATACACCCATCAAAGAAAATTATTTATTTGAAAATTAATCAGATTGAGAAGTAAACAGAAAAGAGTATTCGGTCAACTTTTATAAAACTGTGTAATCTTACGGACATTCTGTTTTCCGGTGAGACATGCTAAAGGTCAATGATAATTTTATCGATTTCGCTACACAATATCTTTGTAGGTGATCAAGTTAAATAGATTAAACTCAATCTCAATATTTTTAAGTAGTATCAAAAGAGAATACTCCTGAATGATGATCTGAGCGGTTAGAATAATTTTAGACGTTAGAGATACAGTTTTAGACATAGTTAATATCAGTGTGTAATGATTCGATTCAAGATCGGTTGCAATAAGTCGAACTAATTCATTCTTCACCTTTATTCATGTATTACATAAAATCGGTATACTTCTAGTTTAAGCATTTTGTTGTGTCGTTTACTTTACGATTATTTTTGTGGCGGGTTTCGTTTTTTAGTCTTTTGTCAAGTTGAACTATTGTGTATTTGGCTGGAATTTCCTAATACCGCTGTAATGCCTGAATTTCTAGCCCATGTAAATTTTTTACATTTTAGTCATAAAAGATAAATGAATACTTAACAAAATCAAAATATCTTGTCTTCATATGGTGAATATATATAAATATTTTTCCTTCCGATCATTCAACATAAAAATGTTGACATTACGTATAAATATGCTTATTTTCTTATTTAAAACATTTTAAATCAAACTGATTTCTAACTTATAGCTACTTCTATGTGCATAGGTTTGCTTCTGTAGAGAATGTTAGTCAAAATTGCCATTCTTGTTCTTCACATGAAATTTGTCTGATTCTATGAAAAATCTAAAGAGATCATTTAATTGCCTTTTTTATTCATTTAAAATATCTATAATGTAAGACTACCGTCATTAATACAGAACATTCGACTCTTGGAGAAAATATTCGCCTAAGACATTTCTAAGTCACTATACTTAGCGCTATTCACATTTTAAACCCTAAAGTTTTTTTTAGCTACTTATCTCTTACTTTGCAATATACCTACGCAGGATGAGCAAGAAATCGCACCTTATAATTTCTTATTTTATTTCATTACGACTAAATCTCTTTAATCTACTGACTAACTTCATTCACTGATGTTACCTTATTAAACCTAATGATTTCATGGTGTTTAATTTATTATCTAATAAGTGTTTATCTGAATATTTATCATAAAAGGAAGTTAATATTTGCGTGATCACTACCAGAAATTCAAACTTTATTTAATATCCGAATATATATCAAAACTTTCGTATGAATTATATTTTTATCAGTATGGAGTTGTGGAGATTATTATGTTTTTGATTGAAATCATGAACCGATTGATGTTAGACCACCATTGAAAACCTAGACGGCCGTTTTGGTTGCCGAATTCACTCAAGTTTTATATATAATTATATTACTCAAAAGTGATATCCCTAAGAAAATAACCTTTTTATTAAATGTTGTTTTATTCCAAAGTTCATAGAAAATTTCCCTATTACACAACTAATAGCCATTATTATAGAAAACCATGTATCACAAAGAAAGATATTCATCTATATTCTACAATCAAACTAACCATAACCGACTACAAATCTATTTTTTACCCTACTTAATTTGACGTCTTATTTAGTTCAGAGTAAAGCATGTTTAGAAAGCAAATCCATATGTAGCAAAATAAAAATTTAATTTAATAAATGACTATCGTGCAAATTGAATAAAAGTATGAAAAAAAGATAAAATATTTTTTGATGACTCCAATCACATTGCAGGAAAACAACTCAACTCAAGCTTTACATCGTTCTGAATTAAGTTTGAGTTCATCAGTTAGTATACATTGTATGTTGAGAGCGAAAATACTAAATAATCAATTATGTTTATAATAATAAAGTAAACAGAAGTTGTGTTCAATATTCAACATTTTGGAGAAAAAGTTTTGAGAGAGAAAGTTTTATGGTTATAAGAAATATGAAAAAATATATAAAAGGTGAAATATACCTCATAGACGACCTTGAGTGAGTTTTAATCAATCAGAGGGCAGGTAAAATAAATAAGTCATTTATTGTCGTTAACCGAAATAACAGAAGTGATATTTACTTTTTACATGATTATTAAACTGAATAAACTTACTAAAATAAACTTAGATGAAGTTGAAGAGTTCGTCTACATAACTTTAGTTCATCTTGCCTTTAAAACCTTCCTAAGGTTGAGAATAGTTCTTTAATCGTGAATATATTGCTAAGATATCACTAATCTGTACAGCCGATACAGGGTTGATAAAATAACGCTTACGAAAAATAAACCGATGTTTACAATCATTACTCTCTTCTGTCATTCATATGGATAGTTTCACCTAAATAATTTTTCTGTATTGATTAGTTTATAATGTGTGGTGGATCTTCAGAGACCTTACAATACACTAAATCACATAGACTTTTCTCAGTAGGTAAACTAGCATTTCAGATGCAATCTGCAACAGTTGCATGTCCTTCTTGTAATTCAGCTTTTACATTATCGCATACTTACCACTTAATTACACATAAACAATTTGTTTAGTTTTCAGAACTGCAATAAATATATATATGCAATTTTTGTTTAGATTTTAGTCAGACACAAGCTGACCATTATGGTGTTTTGAATTTCACGCGAAAATCCATGAAATCCTGTCTTAAATCTAATTGATTCATTCACAAAGTGTAATTCCACCATATTTAATGAACAAAGAACTTTTGTGGAATAAGAAAATAGCTAAATAAAAAATGTTTAAATACATGCTGGAGAAATTTTTTAACAGTTTCACTTATTAAATAACTTACAAACGTACAAACACAGTAATACACATGCACTGTAATAATTCCCTTCTTCCATTTTAGAGCACTGATCAAAATGTAATCCTATCAAGTCATTATGTACGTAGTAAAAACTCTTTATCAGCTGAACTGAAGGTATGTAAAGTATTATGAATGACACGACATACCCTAATGTAACCACAATAAGAAGATTACATAACACCATCAGGTCCATACACAATTTAGTAGCTCCATTAATTAAAGATTCTTTCGTGATGATTGATATAGAAGTGTTGATATTAAAGGTGAAAGTTTGGTAATATGAATAAATTTAGTTTCTGTAGGCAAACATTTTTGGCAAGTAAATTTTTCATTGAATTGACGTTTTTAATTATTCGGTGTATAATTTTTCCTCAGCATGTTTCAATGAAATCAGTTTTATTATAAAAACCACTAGATAATTAAATAAGATCTATAAGTGCATTAATCCACTGTAGCGTCATTATCAAAATTTTAGAACCCACACTTACCACATTTTGTACGATCTACCAATGTGGATAAAAGGTATTATATAAAGATCGTTAATAACTTTACAGTATTGTACTGTGTAACAGATAGTGAAATGATCTAATTGTTTGAGTTCATTTGTTAAATATCACTGATGATTTTGGGTATGCCAGAAAATTCAAACCACTCCATAATAAATTGATAAGTTTGTTTTGTCTTAATCTCAACTTAATTCCTACAACAGTTTTGTTGATAATGCATTATCAGCAATAATATCTTAAAATAGGTATGATTTATACAAGTTGACCATCGGTTTTACAATATAATCAACCTTTGGTGTTAATATAGTGGTTTTCTACCAAAGAGATCTTAAAATTCAGTCCACTCTCTACATTTTAAGTTTTAAATTACTCTCTGTTAAAACTATACATTTAATACATAAATTTACCAAGTAATTTTCATGATTATTCTTTAATACTAAGAGTTCGATAAATTCTTAGCATTTCAAGAAAGGAAAGAGCCAAAAATATACACCCAATCCGGAAACAATATTATTAATGAATCCATCCACGTCTATTCCGCCGCTGAAGAAAAAGCACTGTATTTTAAGAAAACAAAAAGAACTATCAATCTGTTCAGATTGTTCTAATCTACTATTGTCACTTTGAAACACGTAGAAAAATGTAAAAACTTTTCGAATAACTTACCATCAGTTGAGGATATGTAGTTAGAAAATAATGCCAGACGAGAAGCTGCAATCAAACCTGGATGTATAGTTTGTTTATTATATGGCAGATCATTTAATTGAATCCAAGTATTTTGCTGATATTTTGAGGTCGATTCTTCTTCCCTCCAAAAACTGCATATCATACCTAATTCTTCAAAGTGCAATACATTTGACTGAATTAATTTATATCGACGGATTTGATTAGTTCCACAAACAAAATAAATATTTATTTGATGACTCGTACAGTTGTTGTCAGAAAACGTTGTCAGTGTTCTAAAAGCTGATGTTATTTTAAATGTGGAATAAGAAGTTTCCCATTCCATAACCTTAAACGATTGTCTCGAATTGCACAGGTTATTCATATATATAATGTTCCTATTAAAACAAGGATTTATTTAAGATAACAACTATGATTTTGTAACACTTTCAGTACATTACTATGATATAAAACAACAGAGTATATTGCTTTAATCTTTAATAACTGGCACTTAAACTGGTTTTTTTATTTTATTAAGTCACAACCACTAAATTTTGTCAATATCAACACTTTATTCGGAAGAATTTAAGTGATACAGTTGATCGTGTTTTGATTCCATTGCTTTTCGCCCATAAAAGTTACAAAACATATGATCAGTTTAGTTTTGAAGAGGTAAATATGGATCTTATATATTTTAGTATCACTTAATCACTTTGATCCAATTAATAAATGGCAGTAAAGCAACGAATATTATTAATAATTATATTTGCATTACCGGTCATCACGATAACGACGTTTATGGTTAGACACAATATCTAAATAACCAACATGTTAGATATACGAAAAAGTAAGCGGTAGAAATTTGTGCTATTGTTCAGATTTCTCTACATGGTTTTTTTAACTCACAACTTTAATCCTAAAATATCTGGTTTAACACATTGGGAAAATCGTAAAATATGTTTACGAAACCACGTATTCATTCAATCCCATGCAAATCACTGCAATTGACAGTAATCATTAAATATTAAGAATAGTACAGTGAGATTATGATTAATAAGTACAAATTCATTCAAAAGAATCAAAAATTTAGACTGACCACACTAAGTTCTCCTAAGTAAATTTAAGGTACATGCAGAGCATCATTTTCAAGACATAGCGAATTCATTTTAATTACAATTAATTGCAAACCATATAAGAGGACCCACAATTAACAGATTACTCATTTTTCAAACTAAACTGTAAAGTAAGAAATTGACTGAGAAAACATATAATTTAGAATTATAAACAGACTTAATTTAGTACGAAAATTTTAAGTGTATAAAGTGCAAGCAAACATGTTATTGTGTGGAACTTTAGTGCAAGGAAGAAAACATATGAAAGGAATGATAATTGCTAAAAATGAAAAAAATTTTTAATGACAATAAGTTATTTGGAGGTTTTTGCCTTTAAACAATGATATCTACTTCGGAATCACCGAAAACCAAATAGCTGGAATTATTCTGTGAGGAAAACAATTTGACCGTTAACCAAACGTCTTCTTAAGACCTTCTAAATAAATAAAACGATGATATTTGTGTTGACATTTGAAATAGCAATGAATGAAAACAAAATGTACTTTTATGAAAGTGCCATCTTTGAAAATACTAATTATTGCAAATGACGTCATAAACTGAAACTATCTCTTTTAAAGCGTATAAAATCTGATACATTTAATTTATAAGGCTAGATCCGAAAGACTCGATCATAATTTGAATTTGAACGAGCTGATCATCAACCTGTTATTTCATTACGTATCCTGTCTCATATTTTGATGTATTAGGTTTAAAAATTTTATGTCAAAAGTAAATTCATGTTAAACAGGTTTGAAAACGGTAGGGAAATATTTATATTGTGGTGCTACTTATGTCGAAAGACGTAAGTAGTATGTAACAACAATCAGAAGCGGAATGAATGACAGCAGAAAGCTAAGAAGATCAGGTTGAACAAAATAGAAAGGAATTGTGAAGTAGAAGAATCGTACAGAATGTGAAAGACAATTGATGGAAGATTTGCAAATGAAGTATTTAATGTGCGGTCTTCATATTTTATGAAGATATTCTGGAATTTTGTATAAATAAGTGGGTTGTCCCCACTAAATCTTCGTTTACTACAATGTTACCTCCTAACTCATTACATAGAAGTATGGTTTCGTCAGTCAGAACAGATAAAGTTATTTTTAACCGTTATTTTATTTCATGAATTAACCTTTACTTAAGTTATATTACTACGGAATTACTAACAATGTCTTTCAGCTCTACTTGTATACATCGTATCACCCCTAAATTATTTTTTCATTGTAAAAATAATTACATTCAATGCTCAGATATTAAAAAAGTTAAGACTTGAAAATAACTTTCTACAACTGACGAAAAACTGATCAACAAAAGCCAATGAAATTAGATAAATATCAAAGTGGATTTCCTGGTATCCACAGATGACAGTATCATAACAATTTATATTCTTCCTAATTGTATTGTATTCATTATTAACCCTCGATGTTGAACATTTTTTTTAATGTATTATTTCAGAAATTTTTGTTATTGTTTCTTATAACCTGTTAAATTGACTTCATAATGCTCTGTAAAATCAATTTATTTAATTTGATAATGATCATACGGACCTTAAAATTTCTATTATTACTGAGGTGCTAGTTAGGCTTCCAGTCGTATTAATGTTTACACCACTGCCCATATGAATTTCCTCTTGATTATAAGTGTAAATGACCAAAAACGTATACTAAGATAAACTTTCTAACGGTTACAGTAAGCTATTCAGAACATCCAACACTTTTCAGTACGAATACCAATAACCGTAGGTATTCAAAGTATTTTAATTTATGGTTATAAATAAACAGATAATGATGATGAACACGTTTTGAAACAAAAGCGGAATGAAAAACGCCTAAGTATTGTAAACTTCAAAATAGTCTACTGTAAACATTAAACTGTTTAGTTTATGGAATTCCTGCACAATTTTAGACGACTTATCTTAGTTTTTTGGTGATGGTTAGCAAATGAGTCTGTTCCAGTCTCCATGATACATTTTAGATAATGATTTAATTCACATGGTGCAACAAAAAACAGGAATGTTCTTATTCTTATATTCCTAGATTTTTATGGGAGACCTTAAACTTTTAATAAATTTGATAAATATGCTATAAAAGTGAATTACGAAGGTAGCGTTTGTTGGCTGAATTAGTGACAAATATTTATTTTATCACAATCTTTTATATAATAAAGCTTTCAGTTAACACAAAATATGACATTTTTCAGTCTACATGTGAATCGTTATCTAGTTTGTTTGTAGTAATCAAAAGATATATTTTGGTAAAACCTGTCATCCATAGACTAGCAACGAAAAGAAAACGTATTAACCGAATCATACCATATGAAGACAACTTGAGTGTCAGTGAATGCAATCACTGTGATAATTTTTCATGAAAGTTTATCCTGCACAATATATACCGGAATTCCAAAAAGCTTTTTCATAAATCTGTTTGCAAATCTGCTTCTTAGGGTAAAAATGACTCAGAGAATGATCGTTTCTAATCAGCAACACATTAGTGAGCGAATATTCACCTGCTCTATGGCTGATGTAGATAGTATCTACTCCGTGTGAAATATTATATCATTACAAGCAAAGATGGATAGTGGCTAGCAGTGGAATCCAGGAAGCGCGTTTCGTCCTGTTTGGGATTCTTCAGTTGGATGTACCTGCATCTCAGAGTTGATGTTCACTCTGGGACTCCAACCCAGTACCATTCACTTCAAACGCCATCGAGTTATCCACTCTTATCCATCTTTGCTTATAAAAGCTTGTGAATTAAGGCAATATCGAGGCATATGCAGTCTTAAAATCTCACTGGGAAGGTACAAGCAAAACAATACCAAGTGAATTATATCATTACGTTTTGGAGCCCTTTAAAAATGTCATATCATTAATTCATGATACCAAACTCGAATATACCCATAAGATAGTAGAATTTAGTAAGTTATGCAAATAAGCCACAGAGTCTGTTTAAAAAGTTAAAATTTTTTACATACGACCCATCTTTTTTGGTACATAACCTTTAGTCTGTTTCAAAAAAATGACTTAATTAAAAAGTGATTTTTTTTCTGTTTTTTTCATAAAAAACCAACCAGCTTGTACACTTTCCCTTTCAAGTCTATTACACTTTAAAATTATTGATGTCACTCAAATAATCTATTTTTCAGATAACTTCAGTTTGATACAACATGATCTTATATTTCAGAAGTTTGAAATTATAGTCAGTTTATAATATACGCTACAAAGTTTTTGAAAATAACGCTTTAAATGAATTTTTTGAAATCATACACTGGTAAGTAGTTGTACTGAATCTGTGTAAAGTGAATTTGCTATTGGAATTTTGACTATACTTTAAAACTTCCTATTTTTTGGGATTATTCCAAATGCTTTCTGTTGAATGATTAATTGAACAATCGTTGGGGGGATTAAACCTGTAACTTGTTTTTGTACTTAAATCATTCTTTCTAATAACTATTATTTCAAACTTTAGCTTTTTTCATTTAAAAAACAGCTTATTGTTTTTAGTAACGACTATTTCAAAAACTTGGCTTTACAAAATAGGAGTCGACAAAGATTTTACAATGCTATAAGAAGACGAAGGTTATCAGGAATACGTGGTGTATTTGAGCAATATAGTTCGGATAATCTGATCGTACATATACTTGTTAAGACATTGTATATGAGAGAATGAAAGGCCGAACGGATAAGTTTAAAGGTAAGTAGAAACAAAGATAATAATGAATTAGACAAAAACAGTCTAAAGATCTTGCTAGATCATAAATCAGTATTGCCAGGATTGGTTAATGTTAAGAACAGATCTTTTTTGAACATGCGAAAGGAATTTCAGTTTTTGCATAGTCATGGCTTTAATAAACCTCCGTATATGCTCTTGAAAACTTTTGTACAAAACTATGAAGTCTGACTTGATATCAACCTTATGACCAGTCTTAATCAAATGTTTCACAATGGAGGAAGATATCTTCCTATCCTGTTTTTGTAGCCATCTAAGTATGTATTCACCCACTCCTACTTGATACTTATAATTGCTCCTCCTTATGTATGTGTTTATACACATAAATGTAAATTGATAGACTCAATGGGATGTGACGTAATCACGTACATGCTGTTTGGGCCTTTTGACGAAACATAGACCTTAACTTTTCGATAATGACTTTTCTTACATCCAAAAAATGAGTCCTAGTGAGCAAAATATTGTCCCACGTCTATTCAAACCTCTCTCTAAACCGCACATTGGAGCTT